ATTCCTTACTGATACCATCTTGAATGTTGGTGAAAGGACAAGATATTCCTTGTTGTAAATTTGTCCTTAGTCATACGCACGTCTGTCGTACTTTTCTTCGGTACTAGCAAGCCCAGAGAATAAAAGCCCTTGGTGAGGTTTAATTTCTTCAGTACCCGAATAGCTCTCTTGTCCAGTAATGTTCGTATGGCCAAGTCTGTAAGTTCAACTTGGACCCTTCCAGATCGGGCTTCGGGCAGGGATACAAATGCTGTTGGAGATGGAATTTGAACCCGCTTCTCACAACTTTGAAATCCAGTGGTCGGTCGTTATGTGCCTCTAATCTCCTGGCATACCATTATCAGTATTATGAAGAGGAGGTATGGCATGGCGCACTGCTGCCACGAATCAACTGATGTATGATCCACTCTTCATCTTTGTCTATATTCAGAATCCATATCCGTCGAACCTAGTCGTGGTGGGTACAGTCAACTTGGTGATGGGTGATTTCACCAGCTTGTAGTAATCCTCATCAATAGATGGAAGTTCTGGAACAGGAGAATCGTGTGTCTTGTACGTGCGCTTCTTAATCTGAGGCAACGTCTTATCGCCCTTTAATTTATGAGTGAGTGAGTGAGTATGGTTTTTCACCGCTTTTAGCAATATTCCAGCAACATTGCGGCGGGGGAAACCAGAAATGGGCTTCACACATTGCACCCATGTCGGGAATCGAACCCGGGTCTCCGGCGCGATGAGCGAATGCTTTAACCACTAGGCTACCCGACCAACCCCTTTAATTTATGAACGCTGTTGTTGACTCGTGTGCTCGCATTGCTAGGTAACGTCTGAATGTGATGCTTGTACGGCGAAAACGATGGTCCACCAAAAATGGCACATTCCATCATCTGGGATGCTGGCTCTTCAATAACTTTGGCTCCAACAGATAATAAATCTCTTCAATCCACTCCGTAAAGGAATAGCCTGCTTCAAATTTGTCTGCGGGTGAAGATTCAAACTAAAACATCTGTGATTCCTGATTCACAATCCGATCTGACATTGTTGTCCCCCACCCTAGTGATAGGTGGGATGGTGAGGTGAGGTGAAATTGGGTTTAACGTCGCGTCCAAGATTATTGCACTTATATAGCGACGTGCATGCACGTGTATGTGTGTGTGTGGCTGCTTGTACTAGTCCGGACTGATGCCGATTTATAGTGCTAGCTCACTGAGATACCATGCCGCAGTTTAACATGAATACCCCACTCAGACACAGTATACTGACTCCGAGCCGACCAGTCCTTGTTTTAGCCCCTTAATGCCGAGCGCCAGACAGGGTAACAACAAGTACAATCTTTTAACGTCTTTTTGAATGACGCCGCCCGGGATCGAACCCTGGACCTTCCGCTCTCCGGGCGGACGCTCTACCACAAGACCACGGAGGCGGTCTGATAGGTGGGATGGTGCAACCCGTGGTCCAGTGGAGACCAGCGGACAGTCTTATCATGTCGAACTGCAGGATCACACGACTGACAGTCTATATCATGTCGAACTGCAGGATCACACGATTGACAGTCATTATCATGTCGAACTGCGTGATCACACGATTGACAGTCTATATCATGTCGAACTGAGTGATCACACGATCGTCAGTCTATATCATGTCGAACTGCAGGATCACTCGATTGTCAGTATATATCATGCGGAACTGCAGGATCACACGATTGTCAGTATATATCATGTCGAACTTCTTGATCACACGATTGACAGTCTATATCATGTCGAATTGCAAGATCACACGATTGTCAGTCTATATCATGTCGAACTGCTGGATCACACAATTGTCAGTCTATATCATGTAGAATTGCAAGATCACACGATTGTCAGTATATATCATGTCAAACTGTGGGATCACACGATTGTCAGTATATATCATGCCGAACTGGAGGATCACACGATTGTCAGTCTATATCATGTCGAACTGCAGGATCACACGATTGTCAGTATATATCATGTAGAACTGCGGAAACACGCAGTAGTCAGTATATATCATGTCAAACTGCTGGATCACACGATTGTCAGTCTTTATCATGTCGAACTTCTTGATCACACGATTGTCAGTATATATCATGTAGAACTGCGGAAACACGCAATAGTCAGTATATATCATGTCGAACTGCAGGATCACACAATAGTCAGTCTTTATCATGTCGGACTGCAGGGTCACACGATTGTCAGTCTATATCATGCCGAACTGCAGGATCAAACTATTGTCAGTCTATATCATGTCGAACTGCGGAATCACGCAATTGTCAGTATATATCATGTCGAACTGCAGGATCAAACTATTGTCAGTCTATATCATGTCGAACTGCAGGATCACACGATTGTCAGTATATATCATGCCGAACTGCAGGATCAAACTATTGTCAGTCTATATCATGTCGAGCTGCGGAATCACGCAATTGTCAGTATATATCATTCCGAACTGCAGGATCAAACTATTGTCAGTCTATATCATGTCGAACTGCGGAATCACGCAATTGTCAGTATATATTAGCCGAACTGCAGGATGAAACTATTGTCAGTATATATCATGTCGAACTGCATGATCACACGATTGACAGTCTATATCATGTCGAACTTCAGGATTACACGATTGTCAGTCTATATCATGTCGAATTGCAGGATCACACGATTGTCAGTATATATCATGCCGAACTGCAGGATCACACGATTCTCAGTCTATATCATGTCGGACTGCGTGATCACACGATTGACAGTCTATATCATGTCGAATTTTAAGATCACAGGATTGTCAGTCTATATCATGTCGAATTTTAAGATCACACAATTGTCAGTCTATATCACGTCGAATTGCAGGATCACACGATTGTCAGTATATATCATGTCGAACTGCAGGATCACACGATTGACAGTCTATATCATGTCGAACTGCAGGATCACACGATTGTCAGTATATATCATGTCGAACTGCGGGATCACACAATTGTCAGTCTATATCATGCTGAACTGCAGGATCACACGATTGTCAGTATATATCATGTCGAACTTCTTGATCACACGATTGTCAGTATATATCATGTCAAACTGTGGGATCACACGATTGTCAGTATATATCATGCCGAACTGCAGGATCACACGATTGTCAGTCTATATCATGTCGAACTGCGGGATCACACGATTGTCAGAATATATCATGTCGAACTGCAGGATCACACGATTGTCAGTATATATCATGTCGAACTTCTTGATCACACGATTGTCAGTATATATCATGTCAAACTGTGGGATCACACGATTGTCAGTATATATCATGCTGAACTGGAGGATCACACGATTGTCAGTCTATATCATGTCGAATTGCGGGATCACACGATTGTCAGTATATATCATGTAGAACTGCGGAAACACGCAATAGTCAGTATATATCATGCCGAACTGCAGGATCACACGATTGTCAGTCTATATCGTGTCGAATTGCAGGATCACACGATTGTCAGTCTATATCATGCCGAACTGCAGGATCACACGATTGTCAGTCTATATCGTGTCGAACTGCAGGATCACACGATTGTCAGTCTATATCGTGTCGAACTGCAGGATCACACGATTGTCAGTCTATATCGTGTCTAATTGTGTTGTACATTCTGCGTGCCATAAACACCGCTAACTTCATCAGTTCCAACATTTATTTCCGTCTTCGAAATCTACAGTGTCTCGTAGTTGCAGTTTCACGTTAGGCGGATTATGTCAATAAATCCTGTTAATTAAGCCCGACGATCATGGCTGCCCTTATCATCACACTACCACCACCAAATCTGTCCACTTCCTGTGAGCAGTTTCGTGCATAACGTTCCCCGCGACGCCTGTAAACACGACGTGTACCATCCGCCGGGCGAAGCATAAAACGTGACTCGTCACTTAACCAAACTTGTCTCCATCGCAGTTGTAGTGAGTGAGTGAGTTAAAGTTTAACGTCACATCGGCAATAATGCAGCCATATCGTGACGAACCATCGCAGTTGTAGCCATACTCTGTGACCTTCATACCATTGACGTCGCAGTCGACGATGCTGGTCAGTCAAAATGACAGCTCAAAGTGTTTGTCTAGCGCGAATACCTTCAGTGCGGTTCCTCTGTCTGAGCTTATATCCTCCGCAATCCTGGTATTGCCGTAGTTGTTGAGGTGGGTGTGGTGGTTCTTTCACGTTAGTGACGTAGCCGTATGATCCGTCTGTGTTCTAGTAGTGATACGTGGTCGGCCGGATCTTGGAAGGTCCCGTGTGTCTGATAACGGTTTCACAGTCGTGTTTGGTGCTACATCGAAAAATCATGCAATCCATACAGAAATGACCAATTCAATTTTGGTTTTAACTTTGTATGGCCGTCAGCAACACTGTCAATTATCTATTATACTACTTTTGCGTGTCTTTTTGGCAGAGTATAGTTCATTGACACGAAGATATATCTTGTGTGACACCGAACGTACTGAGCCTTCTGAATGATAGGTGTATGTTCTGATACACTTAAATTGGCAATTTTAACATTTCACCTTTCCATTCTTTAACCAGCGATAAACAACTGCAGGATGTAATAGCCCATTACTGGTCTTTTGTGGTTTTACCTGTACAGCTCATCTCTGTGGATGTTTGTGGTCAGTGCCCGGTACCCCATAGAGAGGTCACAAGGGGGCACCATGGCTACCGAGTTGGGTTGGATGCATGGTGGCCAAGAAAGGTTGGCTGTTATCTGCCATGTAAACACCTCGTCCTGGATAGATTCTCAAACTATCAACCACTGGTTTGCCTGATCCAAGGATTATTTCGCTGACCGCCACTTAGAATGATTATTCACTCACAGAATAGCCAGGCAACAATGTCGATTGGGCAAATATTCCAAGCAACCAATAAACACGTATATTAACTATCACTCACCAGTGGAGTTTAGTATATCTTCTTCACCACAGAGAACCCAAAGGTAATCATTCAAGCGAACACGTACATGAACGGAGAGCGCGTTTATTTACAGCATGAACATGGCAGTGGTGTACAATATAAATAAACAGGGCTGAGGAATTAAGATGTGATGTATACGTGTGTAACACTAATGACAAACACCGAACTATCAGACAAAGGTTGGTCGGCTCGTTCGTGTTCTCGTGACCAATTTAGAGTGAGTGAGTGAGTATGATTTTCCCGCAATATCAGACCAGAAATGGGCTTCATTGTACCCATGTAGGGAATCGAATCCGGATCTTCGGCTTGAGGCCAATTTAGAAATTTGATATTAATGACGAATGTCAGAATACACCGTATGTACAATCTGGGGGACCTACCAACTCTCGTTCCTTCAGGGCAAGACAATAATAATTAACTAGTAATGGCTCTTGAAGGGTAGATTCTCATCCTATCGGGTACCCAGTCATTGCTTGGTTGACAAGGAGACACGCGGTGTTTTACAATCAGTTCCAGGAAGGATAGGAACACCAGAAACGTGCATGAGTCGACATTTAAATAATTGTTTAAGAAAAAAAGGAAAGATAGCACATCTAAAAAACCCATCTAAAATGAGTTGGATGATACTGTAGCCAGCACACAGTTGTATGGTAAATAGACATATGAGTGGTCGTTATGCGACCCGTGCGGCACGGGATGAGAGCATGAGCTTGACGCCGGCAGGGGTTTAGTCGCATCTAGGGATGAAAACGTTTTATGATATATTGTCGGGTATGCACAGATCGAAGACGGGTAGATGCCCCGTGGACCAAGCCTGCTGACAGGGAATGTACTTACATACAAGTCACAGACATCACAAGGGGCGGCAGCTGCACTAGAGTATACAAAAGCATAGACATTAAACTTTCCCTAAATGATAAGAGATCATTAAAGGTTCATAGCATATTTACACTGCTTTCAAACTCGGACACGTTCAATGTGCATATCAATAAATAAGAGACCACTTGTTCAGAGTACAAGAACAACCCACCTGTATGTTGAACAGTTGCAAACACACGACTGTGACGATTCTAGTTGCAATCATGATCAACAATCATACGTGTCTACATACATCTGTGACATCTGATTCAATCTAAAAAGAATTAAAGTTGATAATGATATACTCAACTGGATATATCGAACGCGTTCGTAATATACGCAATTTGCTATGTTTATCACATTAAAATTCATATAGTTTCAACCCATGTTTGGCTTTTCGGATTTATCGGAGTTAACATGACTGCAGTGCTAGCTCCTGATACCGTGGTGCATATATTCGTTGTACAAAGATAGGATGCTTTATAATAAGCTTCGCAGATGCAGAGATGTCAAAAACACGCATGGTATAGGAAAGCTTCGTATATATGTGATCTTGCAGTGGGGGTCAAAACCCACAGATGAAATAATAATGGAAACATAATTGCACGATCCGTTATGTCAGGAATTACGCTTGTGAACACAGTGGAGAGTGCATAGGGTGCTCTGCCACCAGATGTTACAGACGTAGACCTTCAGTGTCCAAGTAGAAGTCAGTATTGCCACGATACAACGTCGGCACTGGTAACGCTGTTTTCCATGATTCTGTCATAGCAGCAGGTTTCTTCACACGCATCTAATAATTCATGGATGACAAATGTTGCTGCCAAGTTGACCTCATACCTCTCAAGCTATTATAAAAACTGTCCTAGATTGCCGAGGATGCTTCATCAGCTTGAGACAAACAGAGTCAGCGATCGGAAGACGAGACATAAGACACACACGATAATATTCCATTGAATTCTACTCGCGTCATTGCCCGAAACTGCACAAGATTTCTCCTCCTTCGCGTCCTTTTTCAAGGTCACCTGAAAGAACTGACCCTTGCTGGGGTTGTTCCTCTGGACGACACACTTGTACATCCCCGCATCCCCCACCCTTGGCTTCAGGATGATGAGACGAGCGTCGGTCAGCCGATGGTGGTCAACCATGATGATGTTGTCTGATGACCGCAGCACGGAGACGTCGTCCTTGTACCATTTCACGCGGGACCGGTACCCCTTCATTCTACATATGAGATCCAAGGGTGCCTCGTTCTTAACCACGGTGTAGATTATATCCCCACTTTCTGAAACACCTGAAAAGACAAGAATAATGTAACACTGTTGGTTAGGGACACACACACACACGCACACACACACACACACACACACACACACACACACACACACACACACACACACACACACACACACACACACACACACACACACACACACACACATTTTATGTAACATACTCCGGACCCCCAATAGTTTTGGCGCCCTAACCCCCAGCCCGCTTTCGCTGTGTCATTTTGCATAACCTTAAGCCCACCTTCTGATGTTTTACCATGCACCTCACCTGTTACGTCAGGTAAGACGATCCCCGGCTCTGTTGAATCTTTGCTTCCGATATCGATGTCCACCACCTTCGTAGTTGACACAGATGACGTAGAAGGCGACCCTGTTTCACTTGCATACATCATTGTAGTCGTGTATTCTTTGTCTGTTGTTTCAGCTCTTTCTGTAGACAGCCCTTGCATAGGCGTCGTAGAATGCATGGGCGTCTTCGGATGTGTTGATTCTGTGACGAAGACGATGTTGCGGGTAACAGTGTCTTGGGTGGCCATATCTTCATCATCACCTGTTCCGTTTCCTGAACCGTAGTCTGTTTCATGGTCATATTCATCTGAGGGGGGAAGGGTGGCAGGTTTAGAAGTAACAACGAATGTGCGCGCTGCTATATGTAGATTATTATACGAGCGTGTGTTTTATGCTGATTTTATGGAACGAGTATCAGAACTCTTGTATTTCCCGAGCCAGCGCGAGGGTAATACTTGAATTCTAACGCGAGGTTCGTAAAATCAATATGGTACACGTTAGTGTAATCATTTCTTGTTTACCCATTATTTTTTAATCCTTTTGAGCTGCCCGTTAGAAAAAAATGTACTGATCACCACCGCTTTCCTAGAGCACCATAATTTGTCGAATGACCTCAACAATCGTCAGCTATGACGTCATTTCGATCTTACGTCACAATAACATTCAAATGACGTCAACAAGGCCATCCGGATGACGGAAATAATACACACTAGAAGTGATATATTCACTTGTGCACATACAATTTTTATGCATTTGGTTATTTCTAACCCTGTGAGTTGTTAAATCATTTATTACCTACGAGGACAAACATATCGGGGTTCATAAACATTATATGTGCCCTAGGGTTATATCACGTCACGAGACAACAGTGAATTGTTTCCGTTATCAGGACGGTATTGTTGACGTCATTCGAATCTTATTGAGACGTGAGGTCGGAATGACGTCACACTAGAAACGACATCATAGCTGAAGATTGTTGACGTCATTCAACAAATTGTGGTTCCGCTGCTGTTGCTACTTGCTGTCCTTATAAAACACTAAAATTAGTCTCTGTATGTAGACATCGTCTAATAAATAGAACACTATATTCGTCTTCATGTCATACTATGTTTACGGCACTATATTTCCGCTCTCGCTCGGGGATTACCGGAATTAGCAAGTAAAGCTTTAATTCCTATAAAACAGCTTAGTTATAAACTTCGAAATATCGCCCCCAAAGTGTTGTTTAAAATGTTCGACTCTCAGATTAAACCTATTATTTTATATGGTTCAGAGATCTGGGGGGTTCATAAATGGTTGTTTCTCGAGCGTTTCCAAGCAAAGTTTTGTAAATTTGTTTTGGGTATCGGTTCCAAATCTACAAATGTTGCAGTGCTCGGAGAGTGTGGTCGATACGGTATTTATATTGATTCTTACACAAGATGTTTAAGATACTGGTTTAAGCTTCTTAATATGTCTCAAGAGAGATTTCCAAAACGGGTTTACGATATGTTATTAGGTTTGATGCCGTTGGTAGGAATACATGGGTTTCGGCTATTAAGAATATGTTATATTCTCATGGCTTCGGACATGTGTGGGAATTTCAAGGTGCTGGTGATCCTGAATATTTTATAAGTGAGTTTATACTGAGGGTTAAGGACTGTCATGCACAAACATGGTATTCTGAATTGTCTGGATGCTCGAAATTAGAACTGTATTCATTATTTAAGACATCATTATCACTTGAACCGTATCTATTAAATGTATTATCAAAAGAAAAGCGACGTATGCTTACCCTTTTACGTATTGGAGAACTGGGAATTATGCATAACACAGGAAGGAGGGATGGCATCGATAAGACACTCCGGTTTTGTCCATTGTGCAAGTCAAGGGCAGTTGAAAATGAAATTCATTTCATTCTTGTTTGCCCCATTTATGAAGATATTCGCTCAAAATATTTCCCATATTTAGACTTCATTACTGGTAATAATCGTAAAGACACACTGGTTAGAATGTTAAACTCTTCTGATGTAAACCGCCTTGAGAACTTAGCCAATTATGTTAAAAATGCTATCTGTCTTCGTTCTTCTTACCTGTAAATATTATTTCATGCAGCACTTGATGTGAAACTAATTTGTATATATCTGTACGTGGGCCTGAGGCCTTATTACCGAATAAACTGATTGATTGAAACCGGAATTTAGACATTCGTGTCGTAAACATAGTATGACATGAACACTCATATAATACCCTGTATATATTACCCTCATAACGACACGGCTATATATGGTATTATTTCCTGTGGTTCTCGGCTCGGAACTATAATATACAGTTACTACCAATAAAGGGCAGCGTTCAACTTCATTGCAGTATTAATGTGTGCATGTTGTTTGACGCAGCACTAAGCAATATCCCAGCTATATCACGGCCATCTGTAAATATTCGAGTCTGGACCAGACAATCCAGTGATTGACATCATGAGCATCGATCTACACAATTGGGAAACGATGACATGCATCAACCAAGTCAGAGAGCCTGACCACTTGATCCCGTTAGACAAGCATAATCGCCTCTTACGTCAAGCATAGGTTGCTAAAGACCTATTCTAACCCGAATCTTCACGGGTCTATGCTATAAATGATTCATGTTTATTGTGGTTTCTCGGTATCAGTCTTGAATGTTAGGAGAGCAAGAATCTAAGGTTCACCACTGGCTGGCTAGTGTTGTTATGTGCAGAAAGATCTTGGAGTGACTGGACAGTCCATCCCTCACAAGTCTTCCGAACTCAATAGTTGAGATTCTAGGACAGAGTTAAAATACTGGGACATAGTTGAGATATTGGACATAACTGAGATATTGGACATAGTTGAGATATTGGTCATAGTCGAGATATTGGACATGGTTGAGATATTGGTCATAGTTGAGATATTGGATATATATGAGATATTGGACATAGATGAGATATTGGTCGTAGTTGGGATATTGGACAAAGTCGAGATATTGGACATAGTTGAGATATTGGATATAGTTGAGATGTTTGACATAGTTTAGATGTTGGACATAGTTGAGCTATTGGACATGGTTGAGATATTAAACATAGTTAAGATATTGGACATGGTTGAGAAATTGTACATAGTTGAGATATTGGACATAGTTGAGATATTGTACATAGTTGACATACTAGGACAGAGTTAGGATACTGGGACATAGTTGAGATATTGGTCATAGTTTAGATATTGTATTTAGTTAAGATATTGGACATAGTTGACCAATATCTCAACTATGTCCCAGTATCTCAACTATGTCCAATATCTCAACTATGTCCCAGTATCTCAACTATGTACAATATCTCAACCATGTCCAATATCTCATAGTTGAGATATTGGTCATAGTCGAGATATTGGACATAGTTGAGATATTGGATATATATGAGATATTGGACATAGATGAGATATTGGTCGTAGTTGAGATATTGTACATAGTTGAGATATTCGACATAGATGAGCTAGTAAACACAGTTGAGATATTGGACATAGTTGAGATATTGGACATAGTCGAGATACTGGACATAGTTGAGATATTGTTCATAGTTGAGATATTGGACATAGTTGAAATATTGGACACAGTTGAGATATTGGACATAGTTGAGATATTGGTCATAGTCGAGATACTGGACATAGTTGAGATATTGTTCATAGCTGAGATATTGGACATAGTTGAGATACTGGTCATAGTTGAGATATTTTATATAGTTAAGGTATTGGACATAGTTGAGATATTGGACATGGTTGAGATATTGTACATAGTTGAGATATTGGACACAGTTGAAATATTGGACATAGTTGAGATACTGGACATAGTTGAGATACTAGGACAGAGTTAAGATACTGGGACATATTTGAGATATTGGACATAGTTGAGATATTGGACACAGTTGAGATAATGGTCATAGTCGAGATACTGGACATAGTTGAGATATTGTTTATAGTTGAGATATTGGACGTAGTTGAGATACTGGTCAAAGTTGAGATATTTGACATAGTTGAGATGTTGGACATAGTTGAGAGAGTGGACATAGTTGAGATATTGGATATAGTTGAGATATTGGACATAGTTGAGATATTGGACATAGTTGAGATATTGGTCATAGTTGAGATATTGGACATAGTTGAGATGTTGGACATAGTTGAGAGATTGGTCATAGTTAAGATATTTGACATAGTCGAGATATTCGACATGGATGAGCTAGAAACATAGTTGAGATATTGGACATGGCTGAGATATTGGACATGATTGAGATATTTGGCATAGTTGAGATATGGACATAGTTGAGATATTGCTAATGATCACATAATAATGACTACGCATAAAAAACATATACAGGAATAGGGGTGAACAACACCATGCACAGATCATGCACAAATGATTGCATGCCAATTTAATTCAAGAATAGTGTCAAATGGCCTTCTCACAACATTGTCATAAACTATGTCATTTGGAGTTGTAGCTGAGACCCCTGTATTGGAGAAGTGTTTAGTAAGCAGAACAAGGAGTGGAAGGAATAGTGATGGTGAAGAAGTAGTGAAGGTCATATTACTAATGGTGGTAGCACCAATAGTGGTGGCAGTAGTTGCAGTGGTGTAAGTAGTAGTGGCAGTAGTAGTGGCAGTGGCAGTAGTAGTAGTAGTAGTAGTAGTAGTAGTAGTAGTAGTAGTAGTAGCAGTAGCAGTAGGAGTAGTAGTAGTAGTAGTCGTGGTCGTAGTGATAGTAGTAGCTGTAGCAGTAGTAGGTGAAGTATTTGCAACGGTGTTAATAGTAGTGATGGTAGTGGTGGCAGCATGAGTGAGGAGACCATCTGACGTACCCTCACGTTCTCTCTCGGCCGTGTTGAACAGCTCTGTGTCACTGACAGCCCGCTGCCCACTGTCCAGTGCCACGACCCGCGCCTGGTAGGTGGACTGAGGATGAAGACCATACACGCTTTGGGAGAACCGGTTGCCCTCTACCTTCGCCCCGCGTGTCCAGGCATTGGTCCCTGGTGATGCACGGGTATATCACATGTATTGCACGACCACACAACCATGATGTTAGTACCAATCACATAGACATTCATGTTTCCGTTAATTGAATTGCCCAAACTTAAAACTTGCATGTATTGCCTTCTCAAAATCCTACACAAGTCTGTACCATGTATGTATCACCTTCCCAACAGTTTGTACCATGTATGTATCACCTACTCAACAGTTTGTACTATGTATGCATCACCTGTACTACAGTGTGTACCATATATGTATCACCTACCCAGCAGTTTGTACCATGCTTGTATCACCTGCCCAACAGTTTGAACCATGAATGTATCACCTACCCAACAGTTTGTTCAATGCATGTATAACCTACCCAACAGTTTGTAACGTGTATGTATCACCTACCCAACTGTTTGTACCATGAATGTATCACCTACCCAACAGTTTGTATCATGTATGTTTAACCTACACTACAGTTTGTACCATGTATTTATCACCTACACTACAGTTTGTACCATGTATGTATCACCTACACTGGAGTTTCTACCATGTATGTATCACCTACCCAACAGTTTGTATCATGTATGTATCACCTACTCAAGAGTTTGCGCCATGTATGTATAACCTACCCAAAAGTTTCTACCATGTATGTATCACCCACCCAACAGTTTGTACCATGTATGTATCTACTACCCAACAGTTTGTACCATGTATTTATCACCTACACTACAGTTTGTACCATGTATGTATCACCTACACTACAGTTTGTACCATGTATGTATCACCTACCCAACAGTTTGTATCATGTATGTATCACCTACTCAAGAGTTTGCGGCATGTATGTATAACCTACCCAACAGTTTCTACCATGTATGTATCACCTACCCAAAAGTTTCTACCATGTATGTATCACCCACCCAACAGTTTGTACCATGTATGTATCTACTACCCAACAGTTTGTATCATGTATGTTTAACCTACACTACAGTTTGTACCATGTATTTATCACCTACACTACAGTTTGTACCATGTATGTATCACTTACACTACAGTTTGTACCATGTATGTATCTACTACCCAACAGTTTGTATCATGTATGTTTAACCTACACTACAGTTTGTACCATGTATTTATCACCTACACTACAGTTTGTACCATGTATGTATCACCTACACTACAGTTTCTACCATGAATGTATCACCTACCCAACAGTTTGTATCATGTATGTTTAACCTACACTACAGTTTGTACCATGTATTTATCACCTACACTACAGTTTGTACCATGTATGTATCACCTACACTACAGTTTCTACCATGTATGTATCACCTACCCAACAGTTTGTATCATGTATGTTTAACCTACACTACAGTTTGTACCATGTATTTATCACCTACACTACAGTTTGTACCATGTATGTATCACCTACACTACAGTTTCTACCATGTATGTATCACCTACCCAACAGTTTGTATCATGTATGTATCACCTACTCAAGAGTTTGCGCCATGTATGTATAACCTACCCAAAAGTTTCTACCATGTATGTATCACCCACCCAACAGTTTGTACCATGTATGTATCTACTACCCAACAGTTTGTATCATGTATGTTTAACCTACACTACAGTTTGTACCATGTATGTATCACCCACCCAACAGTTTGTACCATGTATGTATCTACTACCCAACAGTTTGTATCATGTATGTTTAACCTACACTACAATTTGTACCATGTATTTATCACCTACACTACAGTTTGTACCATGTATGTATCACCTACACTACAGTTTGTACCATGTATGTATCACCTACCCAACAGTTTGTACCATGTATGTATCACCCACCCAACAGTTTGTACCATGTTTGCATCAACTACCCAACAATTTGTATCATGTATGTATCGCCTACCCAACAGTTTGTATCATGTATGTATCACCTACCCAACAATTTGTACCATGTATGTATCACCTACCCAACAGTTTGTACCATTATGTATAACCTACCCAACAGTTTGTGTTGTAGGAGGTAATAAGCGGCGGCTCTTGTGTTAGAGCTGTTCTTGAGAGCCCATGTAATTTCAACAGCTCTGTCTGTTGGCTCCATATCCAAAATCTGTGGCTTTGTTATAGCTGAAATCCATGTATTATAACAACTGAAACGTGTTTATAGATACATTACACGCACAACAGAAGTCTACACTATGAGACAGACACCATCCAACATCCGGTATTTCTTAACCAACAGACGGCGCTGTCACAACGAGGCTGTTCAATATACTAATTTTCTACTTAGTACACGTTTTATGTACTCCACCATACGATAAATACAACAAATCAAAATGTGAAGGAAAATAATTAAATATCACAGGACACACACATAACTGAGGATGAAACACTGCATGTGAACTGTCACTGAACGTTGTACGTGCCAACTTAAGACATTGGACAGAACACCACACTTTACCCGTGTTCTTCTTGGCTGTTTTCGCATCCATGTAGATTGGGTCACCAGGACCCTTCATCGTCAGTGCCCAGACATACACGCGGTACTCCGTGTTGGGCTGGAGATCCTTGATGAAGGAGCGTCGCCGCGTGGTCTCCGGCAGGACCATCATATCTCCTGTGTGAGTACTGTTCACTGTGGCAAACACAACACTGTCATTGCATGGCCACTAATTCTTATAAATGTCTGTAAATGAGATCTGTGATTAAGCAAAGGACAAGGTACTTAAGGGACGTTTTCACAAACAGGATCTGCATAATTCAAGCAGAGACCATAAAGTGGATACTATTTCACGGTCTCTGATTCAAGGAATGAGAAAAACCTTTAAAATCGTTATGAATGTTATCAAATGTCTTTATATAAAAAAGAATCAGACTTGGTTCATTTCAACACTTGCATTTTTGGACTTATAACAACTTTCAATGTATCGATCGGTAAGGATAAAACATTATCGAAAAGAATGACTTTAAAGTTTTTTCAAGAAACGCTTTACTAATATGATAATATGAACAAGCCATTGTCCCTTTTCACTACTTTTAGCCAAACGTACGTATTTTTGTATGTCAGGACTCCCAACTTACACATGGAAATAAGAAAACATCTTCCCGAGGTAAGGGAGTTAACTGACTATAAAAGTCAACTTTCCACCCTTGTCGAACTAGGCTGCAATTTTGTGGCTCGATCGAAGCGAGACCAGTGGCGATTACGAGTTATGTCCCTTCTATGTCCCTCCTATTGACCAATCAGATTCGACCTCTCATATCACTTGCATTTGATTCAAACAAAATGGTGGCGCCCAGTCAAGACAATCTGATCGATAATCAAGATCTTTATTGTCAGAAAATGGGTCTTACCTTGCAAAGTACATCAAATTACTTGAGAACCTTGATTAAAAACATGAAAAGATCATGAAAATATCTGTCTATCTCATTAAAATCAGATCTTAGTTTTGTTGAGCGATAGCGAGAACTAAGATTTGATTTCATTGAGATTGTGCAAATCCTGCATTCGACCGAAATCTTTACGGAAGTCCCTATGTTGTTCATGAATTGAATGTCGTTTCGTTACGCAATTTTAATTGCACTATGCATAGACTCGTTAGTCCAGCCAATATATAACTCCATAATTGCAGACTAGTGGAAGGGTGGAAACTTGACTTTAACAGTCAGATAATTCCCTTGCTCCGGGAAGATGATAATAAAAGAGCTATTTGAAAATATTTGATAATCGTCATACCAAAGTTTTCCATCAATATTACATTTGACATTTCTAGATGTTCATTATCCTTCTCCGTCCTTTATTAAGTTATATTTGATAGAGAGAAAAAGGTCCATGTATATTTCAAAAGTATCAATATGGGTGTTCCGTTAAGTCCATGATAAGTCGTACATAAATGCATATCCATATAAGATTTAGAAAAAAACATTCTGAGAGTGGTGAACGTCAACGACACAAGACAATCACCGGGAACTTTATGTCAGTGTAAGCACTTACTTAGTCTGTAGCCGACTTTGTAGCCAGTCAGAATCCCATTGGTGTTCTCCGGCCGCCCCCAGTCTACCAGGAAATGGATGGCCCCACGGTGCAGTACGTTGATGTACTGTGGGGGGTCCGGCACTGTCAACGGGGAACAGGAGTCGGTCAGATGAACCTTCTTAGTTTAAATACACCCGGTGTCCCACACGTCTCTTTCCTATCTATCTGTGTAGCCGACTACCATGTATACTCAACAACAAAAGTTCCCGTGACACCAAAATTTTAGTGTATTTTTCAAACAAGTAAAGTTTGTTTTTCAATATTGTAGTACATGTATGGAATGAAGTCACAAAAACGCAACTGCTACAGAAAAGCATGCATTCCATGCAAAAATTGACTTTTATGCAAGCCCCATGCATTTCACTACCCAAGAATGGGTATAAAAACATGTGCGTTAACGGGATTCCATAAGCATTGTTTAGCATCGTGCTGACAACAACCACTCAGAAAAACAACAAAATTACGCAATTATTCAACATTACGAGATGCCACGCCTGTCCCAAAATGAGCGTCTGCGAGCCATTGGTATGCTTGAAGCAGGATCGAGTCAACGTGGTGTTGCAAGACAATTTAACATCCACGGAAACATTTAGTGTTTATGGCAACGTTGGCAACAGACGAATGCAGTCAGAGACCATCCTCGGAGTGGCAGCTACGCGTAGGCAATAATCGACAAGAGTGAGTGAGTGAGTGATTACAGCAAGACAGAGGACCCGTTTGATAGTGGTAGAGGGAAATCTCAATGGACAGCGCTACCGCGACGAGATCATCGGCCCTGTTCTACCGTTTTTGCGTCGTCATTACCCAGGCATTACCTTTCAACATGACAACGCCCGGCCTCATATTGCTGGACTTGTTCAGGATTCGCTTCGACAAAACAACGTGAATATCATCCCCTTGCCGGCTCGCTCCCCTGATATCTAACCAATCGAGCACATGTGGGATGAGATGGATCGGCGCCTTCGACGTCATGATCAACCACGTGTTCCACAGACACTCGAGGAACTTCGAAACATGCTCCAGCAGATATAGACAGATATCCCACAGGACTTTGTGCGACGCCTGGTCCATTCCATGAGACGAAGATGTGTTGCTAGCATCGCACAAGAGGTGGACACACGCGCTATTGATTTGTAAATTGACATTTTGGCATGTTCATGTTGTTTTTTTATGAAATCACGCATTTTCTGAAGTCAGTATGGCAAATTTAACCATTTGAACACTTACAGAAGTCTTTTATCTGTTGCAAACCGAAATTGTTTCAGATTTGGTAAAAAAACATAACTTTGCATTAAATCTTATTCAATGTCACAGGAACTTATGTTGTTCAGTATATATTTTCACAAACATGAAAGCCTTAGAACAATATAGAAAGCTGATGTCACTAATGCGATTCCTGTGTTCAAAATCTGTGTTTTGTGTTTAACGCTGCACTCGGCAATATCCCAGCTTATGACGGCGGTCTGTAAACAATCAAGTGTCGACTAGACAATCCAGGGATACGATGACATGCATCAACCAAGTCAGCAAGCCTGACCACCCGATCCCGTTAGTTGCCTCTTACGGCAGGATTGAGTTGCTGAAGACCTATTCTAACCTGGATCTTCACGGGTCGACGTCACTATAAGTGGCGTGTGACAATGAATGATGATGGCAGGTAAATTAAACATGACGGTTTCATCTTGATGAAGATGAATATATTGTTCTAACATACCTCCTTCTGGAGTGCTGAAGTTCACGACGTTACTGCCGATGCTTTTGAAATGTGTGTTGACGACCGTGACGTCAGCCTGAAGATCGGAGTACATCGGCAAATTCCGGACTACTGTTTGAGTTCCAGATATTTCCGTGGATTCGAGTGGAATAAGCGTTTCAAACACGTTGTCAGGGTCCCCTGATTTCCAGTATCGGATCTGCAGGAGAGCCATGAAGATAATGTACGGAACCAGTTTAACCTCGAACTAGTTAACAGTCAACATGTCAGGGAAGCAAAAATGTAATGTTATGTAATGCTGAGTATATTTAACTGGTTCTATGGTGTCAAGTTGCAATACAATTTACCATGGTTTATCAAATGAAAACTATTGTTTGTGTGTTTGTTTGTTGTTTAACGCCACCCTCAGGAACATTCCAGCTGTATGTCGGCGGTCTGTAAATAATCGAGTCTTGACCACCATGAGCATTGATCCACGCAATGGGATCGATGACATGGATCAACCAAGTCAGCGAGTCTGACGACCCGATCCCGTTAGTCGCCTTTTACGACAAGCATAGTCGCCTCTTTCCGTCCATGGTCAGGTATGGGTTGCTGAAGAACTATTCTTGCGAAAAAGTGAAAAAGATCACATATAAAACGCTTTTCAATTTTTTGGTGAATAGGTAAACTTATTTAATAAACCCCACCATAACCTTGCCTTGTACGTATGTCATGGTAAGTCCTTTAGAAATAGGGATTCTTAACATAGGAGTAGTTCAGTAAATATTATGTACTTTGACAAAAGATGCCATCTACAGGCGAGCTCACCCACTCGTTTCCGCACCTCATATCACCCCCACCCCACCCCCACCAACCTTCCCCCACCCCACCCCCACCCCACCCCAACCCCACCCCCACCAACCTTCCCCCAAGCAATACCATGTATCCGCGCAGCATCCCTCGAATCAATTCTGGGTCGTCTTCAACCCCTACCCACGAGAGTTCGGCTTGTCCTTCACCCAGACGGGAAAAGTCGCTCAGGGTCAAATTTTCAGGAAAGACCAATGGAACTGAAACAAGATTGAAGCAACTCAGAGTCAACATTTTTTTAAGTGTAGGACGTGATCCACGTTTTCCCTGACGATTCTCAAGTACATGATGTACATGCGTTATGTTTGTTTGTTGTTTAACGCTACACTCAACAATATCCCAGCTATATCAGGGCTATCTGTAAACAACATCGTGAGCGACTAACGGGATCGGGTGGTCAGGCTCGATGACTTGGTTGATGCGTGTTCCGCGCAAATAGGATACGATGACATGCAACAACCAAGTCAGCGAGCCTGAACACCCGACCCCGTTAGCATAGTGACCTCTTAGGGCAAGTATGGGTTGCTGAAGACCTATTTTCTATCCGGACCTGCACGGGTTTCATGCAATATGAACATACAGTGTTTGTTGTATACATGTCTTTGTAGAATCCCACCTGACGGTACGTCAGTAGCGGCAGTTAAATGAAGGAACGGTTCCGTTCTGGAAGATGCCGACAAAGGAACACAACCCTCACACAAACCACAGGTCACCTTGGCACCTAATTTGTAGGTGATTCTATTTATGCTAGCTTTTGTCCGGCATGGTAGAAACATATGTGGAAACGTATAATGCACAAACAGAAAGGGTGATATTTTGAAGAGCAAATAATTCACACTTACCCTCTTTTTGCTCTAATTTTTAAGTACAAAATGGTTCAAAAGGAACCGCAATGGACGTTGCACCGTCGCGCACCTGGCAACATAGTTGATGTTCATAACGCTCACTCACTCACTCACTCACCTCCCTCCCCCGAGTAGCCCATGTGACTAGTGGCAAGCTGTGGAGGTTCCCCGACACGGTTGGCGGCCTTGACCGTCACGGTGTAGGGCTGGTAGACGTCATCAACCGGTATATCAAAACGGCCCTTGAAAGAGTCGTTACGGATGTAGCTCTGGACAGTGTTGTCGCCCACCTTGCTGATCATGACGACGTAGTGGAAGCCGGGGCCGTTGTGTTGAATTGGGGCCATCGGCTGTAACAGATCAGGGGGACCTCAGGCTCACTTGCTCTTCCATGTACATGTCTGTTTCCCCTCTGACCCTATATCTCCCCAAACCGCATCCTGTACCATCACAAAACCCTTCATTCGCCCTTAATCTGACCCTACCATCGCCAAAACACCCAACCTGGGCCTAAACCCTTACCTAACCCTACCATCACTGTAACTCTAACCTAAACCCTAACTCTAATCATCAACACAGCCCTACTGCAACCGTAGCCCTAAAATTCTAACCCTTCCATCGCCTTAACCAAACCATAGAATATATTTCTAAACCTCCCAAACCCTTCATCGCCATAACGGAACACAGAGGCAACACCCAAACACCATATCAGTACCGATACCCTAGACTAACATTTAGTCCCAGATATAAAGTTATCTCATTCAAAAATATATATCCACAAAATATAAAATCAAATCCAAATGGAGCCAAGAACACTACTTAATTTCAGGGCTGAAGCGATCTAGACTTGCCAAATCTCTCTAGACCAGAGTTGGGAACATTTCTGGATTTATTCTCAAGTGTCTGAGTGACAGACTACCGAAACCCATCCATCACCCAACACCCATCAGATCACATGGCTTGTACTAACCTCCCACTCCACCGCCAGGACGTTGGTTGTATCTGTGACTGTGTGCACCTTCTTGGGGTGGAAAGGTGGCCTGTTTTCGGGGGTTTCACACATATTCATCGTAGGGGCACTAGGAAGGCCGGGTCCAATCTCATTCACAGCTTTCACACGGAAGGTGTACGAACCAAACGGCGACAATTCCACTTTGGCTTGACGCTTATTGGCCCCCACTGTTTTCATCTTGTACCAATTTCCTGGGTCATAGTCGGTGCTGTATTCCACAAAAAATCTCTTCAGAGGTGAGTGGTTGGTCAGAGAAGTGTTGAATTTCCAGGCTATAGTTGCACTATCTCCGTCACAACGTAACAATGTCACTTTTGAAGGCTCGCCCGGGGGTGCTGTTGGGGATAATATGAGAAAGGGTTATTCAAGCCAGGAAGCCTGCATACAACTTTGTACATTATGTTTCTCCCCTTGCCAATATGTTTGCAAGCTCAAGATAAAAGCCCCTGCTAAACGTTAAACTTGCATCGTCCTACATCGAAAGAAGTGATGCAGGTCTGAGACGTTTACCACTTTTGTAAAACCCACGAGCGTAGGTATGACCCAAGGTGACCTGTGGTTTGTGTGAGGAATGTGTTCCCTTGTCGGCATCTTCCAGAACGGAACCGTTCCTTCATTTAACTGCCGCTACTGACGTACCGTCAGGTGGGATTCTACAAAGACATGTGTTCATCTAACACTGTATGTTCATATTGCATGAAACCCGTGCAGGTCCGGATAGAAAATAGGTCTTCAGCAACCCATACTTGCCCTAAGAGGTCACTATGCTAACGGAGTCGGGTGTTCAGGCTCGCTGACTTGGTTGTTGCATGTCATCGTATCCCATTTGCGTGGATCGATGCTCATGATTTTAACCATGCGATTGTCTGCTCAAGAATTGATTATATAAAGATCGCCGTTATATAGCTTGAACATTGTTGAGTGTGGCGTCAAATAACACAGAGTGTACAGTACTTTAAATCGGGAAAAGTGTATGACCACTGCTAACACAGTACATGGCAAACCAGTGTTTGAATTGAATGTCACAGCTTACGACCTGCACTACTTACTAAACACGAACTCTCATAAAAAACCGCTCTGGTTATGTGTGTGTACATATGAATGCTCCTTATCAAAGACACCCCCCCAGCACACACACACACACACACACACACACACACACACACACACACACACACACACACACACACACACACACACACACACACACACACACACACACACACACACACACACACACACACACACACACACACACACACACACACACACACACACACACACACACACACACACGGCCAACCCCAGCTTCATGAGTGTTCCTTACCCTGAACCAGCAAACGTGCAGTCGCCACGACGGAGTCTATGCCGTTGGTTGCCACGCATTTATACACAGCTGTATCTGCCAATGCTACCTTTGTGATGACTAGCCTCCCGTTCTGTCGGTTCAGTTGAGGATTGGTGAAGTCCAGCGTTGTGTTGTCTTTCTTCCACTCATAGCGGAGGTTGTTCACCTCAGCAGGGTCAGTAGCAGCCTTGCACTCCATCACTGCATCCTGCCCGGTCCGCACAGACACGTCCTTAGGACCGTGCACAATCCGTGTTGGATCTGAAAAGGGAGTGGATCAAGGCATAACCTGATGATATATGGTTAGTGAGTGAGTATGGTTTTGCGCCGCTGTTAGCAATATTCCAGAAATGGACATCAGAAATAGGTTTTACACATTGTACCCATGTGGGGAATCGAACCCTTGACGAGCGAATTCTTTACCACTAGGCTACCCCACCGCCCCGTATATGGTTAGAACCGGTAGATAGGTTGCTGAACAGATGCAACTCCAGCTCAACGATAAGCTTCTGTAGGTGGTGCTTCAACGTTAGTAATGCATATAACTAAGGGGTAGATCATTTGATATTTTGACGGGGGTTGGGGTGGTGATGGTGGGCTGTGATTTTATCGAACAAAATAAATTGTTCCCGAAAATTCTTGAAAAAACAATCATGCTTTATATAGTTGTCAAAATAGAAATTCGGCTGCCATAAAAATTGTTTGGCTCATTGTAGTAAGTGAAAAAACCCATCTGGTTTTGCAGCTGTAGCTGATAAAATATCTAGTCTCAATAACAACTCCTAAAGATTGACAAATCATTGATCGGCTTTAAGCACCAAGTCCGCATTTATTCTTTGTCCCCGAACCAGGGATTCGATATGGAACGCACTGAAACACTGTTCCCAACGTGTTTCCTTGTAAACATCGTTCTCTAGGTGTGGCCACAAGCCGTGTACAGTCATCTGGTTAATACGCATATGAAATGCACCATGACAATTAAGGACTTCAGTGAATGACTTACCTCTAATGATTACTGTATATTTACTGTTGTCCTCGCCGTATTTGTTCCGTACAAAACACTTGAACAGACCACCATCTCTCATCATGGCTTTCTGAAAAACCCACAACATTGACTTACAGACATTGTTCCCGTGGCAACACTGTGACACGGATACCAATCAGTCCCTTCATTACCCACTGTTGGTTTAACCATCTAATTGATCTTCTTCGTCCAACAAAACAGTAACCCTACCTCGCTTACATGAAGACATCCACCAAATTTCAAATCAGTGTTCAAACGGTAACTTGTATAAATCCTCTGACAAAATGTGTACCTTATGATAATGCACCCGCACCAATTCTTCGAGAGATACTGAAAAATCTTCTAACATCCCATGTCTGAGTCACTTGAGTTAATCGCCGTTTCGAATTCTATTTCAGATTTATCACAGGGAGTAAGCTTCAGGTGGGAGAATGGTCCCAGTTTACGCAGGTCATAGAGGATCAAGCATGGTCATTTGAACCGAAGCCCTTCGTATCCTCTAGCTGACAAAGCTGTGGCCATGTTAGGGCAGAGACCCGTCTTGTAACAGATTATGCCTATTGGTAACACTTACGCCAATCAGCAGAGATCCGTTCTCAAACAGTTCATATCTCCCATCTGCATACAGTTTCTTCTCTCCCTTAAACCACACGAGGTCCGGGACGGGGTGACCGGTGTGGTGGCAGTGTAGGAGTGCCCTTCCCCCTCGAATGACCTTCACATCTGCATGCTCAGGTTCATTGATGACTGCAGGGATGGCTAGAAAGATTCAAGTCATGAATGTGTTATTGCTCAAACTAGACTACAAAGTGTAGCACTGCATTCGTCAGAAGTATGCTCCATGCGGTGTTCTTCATTCAGTATAATGTACCTAGCAAACCAAGGTTCCAGCCTGCACGGTCCTCAGGATATGATCAGCACAATATATTGAATATTGCCACCTCAATTATTCTAAAGAACCGTTTAGTGGTAAGTTAAATGCTTATAGTTTAAACTACAAATGTACCGCCTTCTGGGAAGTACTCTCAACCAATCAATCTCCATGAACCCTTAAGTCTATTCATGAGAAATGCATTGAAATTCTTATCTTTAATTGGGAACCGTTTATCCTTCCTAACATGAAATCGTCCGCAAGCTCCTTAAATTTGTACCCCAAATCCAACGAACACATAGTCAATGTTTTGTTTGTTTGTTTGTTTTTTGTTTAACGCCGCACTCAGCAATATTCCAGCTATATGACGGCGGTCTGTAAAATAATCGAGTCTGGACCAGACAATCCAGTGATTGACATCATGAGCATCGATCCACGCAATTGGGATCGATGACATGTATCAACCAAGTCAGCGAGCCTGACCACTGGACCCCGTTAGTCGCCTTTTACGACAAGCATAGTCGCCTTTTACGGCAAGTATGGGTTGCTGAAGACCTATTCTACCCCGGAATCTTCACGGGTCACATAGTCAATGTCTCTGGGCTGAAACGAACGTCGTCTTTATCAAATGTCAGCGATTACAGATGTCTGCTTTATGTAACGTTGTACCAAGAACCCACCTAGAATGTTGATGTAGGTGTCGGACCAGACGTAGCCGTGGATGTTGGAGGCGTTACACTGGACGGCCATGGTGTCCGTGCGTCTCACGTCCGTCAACACCAGTTTCCCCTCAGTTATTCTCTGGTTCTCTTTCGGCTCTCGTTCTGTTAGATGTTTGAACATAGACGAATGTAATATCTGGAGATGTGTTACACCTTCGTGACATATGGGGAGGAAACATTTAGGCAAGAAGACTGTCTAAATCAAAACAAAAAAAGGCCAAGAAGTTTAACTTAAGCTTGATGTATATTGATGATCTGATATTGTTCAATCGTGGTCAAATAGCCAATACCCTTTCATTGATCTATTCACGTTTTAGAACTATGCATAAAGAGAGGCAACAAACTATCCAGAAGTCTGTGGGGTGACTTCAACGTACCAATAGTCAACACTAACTTTATGTCGAGCAATTTTCCAGCAGCTGCATCCTTTTCTGTGTTCATTTCAGAACTGGTTAGGATTAATCGAGCAAGCCCTATCGACCAATATTTCAAGAGTTGTTTGATCAGGAGTACAGCATTCAAGGCCTTACTGAAGCATTCACACCATGTTATGGTAGACATGTGGAGGGCATTTCCAAATTTGAAACATCAGCGACCATTTGCCCCATTCAGTTCCCTTTTTGACTTGCACCATATATTCCCGAGTTTGTTCAGATGAACACTTGAATTGTCCTTGCATGAGTTCGTGACTGGTGTCGTCAGTATGGATGGATACGCTCACCTTTTCCTGAACATCTGGTATCAACACTAACTGAAGGTGAGTTGTTAACACACACCGTGATACAGTCGGTATGGATGGATACGCTCACCTTTTCCTGAACATCTGGTATCAACACTAACTGAAGGTGAGTCGTTAACACACACCGTGATACAGTCAGTATGGATGGATACGCTCACCTTTTCCTGAACATCTGGTATCAACACTAACTGAAGGTGAGTCGTTAACACACACCGTGATACAGTCAGTATGGATGGATACGCTCACCTTTTCCTGAACATCTGGTATCAACACTAACTGAAGGTGAGTCGTTAACACACACCGTGATACAGTCGGTATGGATGGATACGCTCACCTTTTCCTGAACATCTGGTATCAACACTAACTGAAGGTGAGTCGTTAACACACACCGTGATACAGTCTGTATGGATGGATACGCTCACCTTTTCCTGAACATCTGGTATCAACACTAACTGAAGGTGAGTCGTTAACACACACCGTGATACAGTCGGTATGGATGGATACGCTCACCTTTTCCTGAACATCTGGTATCAACACTAACTGAAGGTGAGTCGTTAACACACACCGTGATACAGTCGGTATGGATGGATACGCTCACCTTTTCGTGAACATCTGGTATCATCACTAACTGAAGGTGAGTCGTTAACACACACCGTGATACAGTCGGTATGGATGGATACGCTCACCTTTTCCTGAACATCTGGTATCAACACTAACAGAAGGTGAGTCGTTAACACACACCGTGATACAGTCGGTATGGATGGATACGCCCACCTTTTCGTGAACATCTGGTATCATCACTAACTGAAGGTGAGTCGTTAAGACACACCGTGATACAGTCGGTATGGATGGATACGCTCACCTTTTCGTGAACATCTGGTATCAATACTAACTGAAGGTGAGTCGTTAAGACACACCGTGATACAGTCGGTATGGATGGATACGCCCACCTTTTCGTGAACATCTGGTATCATCACTAACTGAAGGTGAGTCGTTAACACACACCGTGATACAGTCGGTATGGATGGATACGCCCACCTTTTCGTGAACATCTGGTATCAACACTAACTGAAGGTGAGTCGTTAACACACACCGTGATACAGTCGGTATGGATGGATACGCCCACCTTTTCGTGAACATCTGGTATCATCACTAACTGAAGGTGAGTCGTTAACACACACCGTGATACAGTCGGTATGGATGGATACGCTCACCTTTTCGTGAACATCTGGTATCATCACTAACTGAAGGTGAGTCGTTAACACACACTGTGATACAGTCGGTATGGATGGATACGCCCACCTTTTCGTGAACATCTGGTATAGACACTAACTGAAGGTGAGTCGTTAACACACACCGTGATACAGTCGGTATGGATGGATACGCTCACCTTTTCGTGAACATCTGGTATCATCACTAACTGAAGGTGAGTCGTTAACACACACCGTGATACAGTCGGTATGGATGGATACGCCCACCTTTTCGTGAACATCTGGTATCATCACTAACTGAAGGTGAGTCGTTAACACACACCGTGATACAGTCGGTATGGATGGATACGCCCACCTTTTCGTGAACATCTGGTATCAACACTAACTGAAAGTGAGTCATTAACACACACCGTGATACAGTCGGTATGGATGGATACGCCCACCTTTTCGTGAACATCTGGTATCATCACTAACTGAAGGTGAGTCGTTAACACACACCTTGATACAGTTGGTATGGATGGATACGCTCACCTTTTCGTGAACATCTGGTATCATCACTAACTGAAGGTGAGTCGTTAACACACACCGTGATACAGTCTGTATGGATGGATACGCTCACCTTTTCGTGAACATCTGGTATCATTACTAACTGAAGGTGAGTCGTTAACACACACCGTGATACAGTCGGTATGGATGGATACGCCCACCTTTTCGTGAACATCTGGTATCATCACTAACTGAAGGTGAGTCGTTAACACACACCGTGATACAGTCGGTATGGATGGATACGCCCACCCATTGTGAACATCTGGTATCATCATTAACTGAAGGTGAGTCGTTAACACACACCGTGATACAGTCGGTATGGATGGATACGCTCACCTTTTCGTGAACATCTGGTATCAACACTAACTGAAGGTGAGTCGTTAACACACACCGTGATACAGTCGGTATGGATGGATACGCCCACCTTTTCGTGAACTTCTGGTATCAACACTCACTGAAGGTGAGTCGTTAACACACACCATGATACAGTCGGTATGGATGGATACGCCCACCTTTTCGTGAACATCTGGTATCATCACTAACTGAAGGTGAGTCGTTAAGACACACCGTGATACAGTCGGTATGGATGGATACGCCCACCTTTTCGTGAATATCTGGTTTCATCACTAACTGAAGGTGAGTCGTTAACACACACCGTGATACAGTCGGTATGGATGGATACGCCCACCTTTTCGTGAACATCTGGTATCAACACTAACTGAAGGTGAGTCGTTAACACACACCGTGATACAGTCGGTATGGATGGATACGCTCACCTTTTCGTGAACATCTGGTATCAATACTAACTGAAGGTGAGTCGTTAACACACACCGTGATACAGTTGGTATGGATGGATACGCTCACCTTTTCGTGAACATCTGGTATCATCACTAACTGAAGGTGAGTTGTTAACACACACCGTGATACAGTCGGTATGGATGGATACGCTTACCTTTTCGTGAACATCTGGTATCATCACTAACTGAAGGTGAGTCGTTAAGACACACCTTGATACAGTCGGTATGGATGGATACGCCCACTTTTTCGTGAATATCTGGTATCATCAATAACTGAAGGTGAGTCGATAACACACACCGTGATACAGTCGGTATGGATGGATACGCTCTCCTTTTCGTGAACATCTGGTATCATCACTAACTGAAGGTGATGCGTTAACACACACCGTGATACAGTCGGTATGGATGGATACGCCCACCTTTTCGTAAACATCTGGTATCATCACTAACTGAAGGTGAGTCGGTAACACACCGTGATACAGTCGGTATGGATGGATACGTTCACCTTTTCATGAACATCTGGTATCATCACTAACTGAAGGTGAGTCGTTAACACACACCTTGGCACAGTCGGTATGGATGGATACGCTCACATTTTCGTGAACATCTGGTATCATCACTAGCTCTGATAGTGATCCGTTACCACACATTCGGAATCGGACAATTGAGTCTGCTTTTAAATGTCAAATTCGCCTTGCCAATTTCCACACAAAAAGATTTCTGAGAAACCACCCAGTATTCCATGTACATGTACCTACTGCCCCCTTCACCCTATTCTATCAGCCAGCTGCACGTCACCTTCAGCATACCTCTCAGTGGGATGCCATTTATAAGCCACTCAATATGTGGACTGGGAGTTCCTGCCGCCCGGCAGTCTATCACCACGTCTTCCCCCTCGTCAGCAGTGACGTCTTTGGGCTCCGTCACCCACGTCGGCGCCGCTGGAACAGGATGGGTGGATTTCTACAAATTTCTTCTATTAAAAAAATTATGTTTTCATAGGCTGACAAAATGGTCATATTGAATGCTGTTTCAATGCATTTATTTTGATAAACATCAGTTACAATATGTATCCATAGAAACAACTAACTTCTACACAATGGTGTCTTTTAGCCCTACCTTCTACGTCCGCTGTGAATGCCCTTGTCAACTATTTTATCCCTACCTTCTACGTCCGCTGTGAATGCCCTTGTCAACTATTTTATCCCTACCTTCTATGTCCACCGTGAATGTCCTTGTCAACTATTTTATCCATACCTTCTACGCCCACCGTGAATGTCCTTGTCAACTATATTTTATCCCTTCCTTCTACGTCCACCGTGAATGTCCTTGTCAACTTTATTTCATCCCCACCTTCTATGTCCACTGACAATGCCCTTGCTAACTGTTTTTAACCCTACCTTCTACGCCCACCGTGAATGTCCTTGTCAACTATATTTTATCCCTACCTTCTACGTCCACCGTGAATGTCCTTGTCAACTATATTTTATCCCTACCTTCTACGCTCACCGTGAATGTCCTTGTCAACTATATTTTATCCCTACCTTCTACGCCCACCGTGAATGTCCTTGTCAACTATATTTTATCCCTACCTTCTATGTCCACTGAGAATGTCCTTGCTAACTATTTTTAACCCTACCTTCTACGCCCACCGTGAATGTCCTTGTCAACTATATTTTATCCCTTCCTTCTACGTCCACCGTGAATGTCCTTGTCAGCTATATTTTATCCATTCCTTCTACGTCCACCGTGAATGTCCTTGTCAACTTTATTTCATCCCCACCTTCTATGTCCACTGACAATGCCCTTGCTAACTGTTTTTAACCCTACCTTCTACGCCCACCGTGAATGTCCTTGTCAACTATATTTTATCCCTACCTTCTACGTCCACCGTGAATGTCCTTGTCAACTATATTTTATCCCTACCTTCTACGCTCACCGTGAATGTCCTTGTCAACTATATTTTATCCCTACCTTCTACGCCCACCGTGAATGTCCTTGTCAACTATATTTTATCCCTTCCTTCTACGTCCACCGTGAATGTCCTTGTCAACTTTATTTCATCCCCACCTTCTATGTCCACTGACAATGCCCTTGCTAACTGTTTTTAACCCTACCTTCTACGCCCACCGTGAATGTCCTTGTCAAGTATATTTTATCCCTACCTTCTACGTCCACCGTGAATGTCCTTTTCAACTATATTTTATCCCTACCTTCTACGTCCACCGTGAATGTCCTTGTCAACTATATTTTATCCCTACCTTCTACGCCCACCGTGAATGTCCTTGTCAACTATATTTTATCCCTACCTTCTATGTCCACTGAGAATGTCCTTGCTAACTATTTTTAACCCTATCTTCTACGCCCACCGTGAATGTCCTTGTCAACTATATTTTATCCCTACCTTCTACGCCCACCGTGAATGTCCTTGTCAACTATATTTTGACCCTACCTTCTACGCCCACCGTGAATGTCCTTGTCAACTATATTTTATCCCTACCTTCTACGCCAACCGTGAATGTCCTTGTCAACTATATTTTGACCCTACCTTCTACGCCCACCGTGAATGTCCTTGTCAACTATTTTTCATCCCTACCTTCTACGCCAACCGTGAATGTCCTTGTCAACTATATTTTATCCCTACCTTCTCAACAACCGTGAATGTCCTTGTCAACTATATTTTATCCCTACCTTCTACACCAACCGTGAATGTCCTTGTCAACTATATTTTATCCCTACCTTCTACGCCAACCGTGAATGTCCTTGTCAACTATATTGTATCCCTACCTTCAACGTCCACTGTGAATGTCCTTGTCAACTATATTTTATCCCTACCTTCTACGCCAACCGTGAATGTCCTTGTCAACTATATTTTATCCCTACCTTCTACGCCAACCGTGAATGTCCTTGTCAACTATATTTTATCCCTACCTTCTACGTCCACTGTGAATGTCTTGTTAACTATCATTTACCCCTACCTTCTACGTCCACTGTGAATGTCCTTGTGAGGGGCCTGGTTCCCTGTTGGCTCCCTGTACACATGTACACTCCTGTATCAGCCTCCTCCAGCTTCTCGATTCGAATCTCATGGTTTCCTGGTCCAAATTTACTTCGTGTTAAGTTCAGCATGGATCCGTCGGCGCGGCTCCAGGACACTTGGGGTCGTGGACTTAAGAAGCGATAGAGAGAACTCAGTTTATATAGCAAGAATTGGTTAGAGTCAGTTGCCAATCAGAAATACCAGGACTCTAGGAGCTCCTATTCAGATCGGTGTTAATTGCCGGAAGGTATTATTGGTTGTGAAAGAACAGAGCTTGGTTCGTGAGTGGCATTTAATTTTGACACCTTGTACCTTATATCAGAATATAATACTTCATATGTACTGGGGTTTTGTCCTGTATACAATAGTATCTTTTCTTGCAATCTTGGGAGGAATCAGCAAGTTTGGATCATCTTTCAAACCACTGAACATTTCATCTGACCAGGACATAGGTTCTTGAGTTGCATTCGTACCGGGTCAGAGCAGGTCCCTAGTGAGTCATGTGTGTCGTACTGGGGGCAGCTTTATATGTCATGTCACCCCTATGGCTCGTTGCCCGTGTTTCCAGTCATTGGATTGTTACTCGATACAGTTACAGGCTGTCGTGGATACAGTTACAGGATGTCGTGGATACAGTTACAGGCTGTCGTGGATACAGTTACAAGATGTCTTGGATACAGTTACAGGCTGTCGTGAATACAGTTGCAGGATGTCGTGGATACAGTTACAGGCTGTCGTGAATATAGTTACAGGATGTCGTGGATACAGTTACAGGATGTCGTGGATACAGTTACAGGCTGTCGTGAATATAGTTACAGGATGTCGTGGATACAGTTACAGGATGTCGTGGATACAGTTACAGGCTGTCGTGAATATAGTTACAGGATGTCGTGGATACAGTGACAGGCTGTCGTGGATACAGTTACAGGATGTCGTGGATACAGTTACAGACTGTCGTGGATAAAGTTACAGTCTGTCGTGGATACAGTTACAGGCTGTCGTTGATACAGTTACAGGATATCATGGATACAGTTACAGGCTGTCGTGGATACAGTTACAGGCTGTCGTGGATACAGTTACAGGCTGTCGTGGATACAGTTACAGGATGTCGAGGATACAGTTACAGGCTGTCGTGGATACAGTTACAGGATGTCGTGGATACAGTGACAGGCTGTCGTGGATACAGTTACAGGATGTCGTGGATACAGTTACAGGCTGTCGTTGATACAGTTACAGGATATCATGGATACAGTTACAGTCTGTTGTGGAACAGTTACAGGATGTCGTGGATACAGTTACAGGATGTCATGGAAACAGTTTCATGCTGTGGTGGTACAGGAGGTATATATACAATATAGTAACATGTACTCACTTGCCCCCGAATATACACATCATCTTCAGCGTCTTCCCCTGCAGACCCAACATTGCGGCCGGAGTTTGCCACATAAGAGACATCGGTTCGTCGACAGGCTTACCTACAACAGAGTGGGATAGTGACGATGTGAGCAATGTCAACTGCATATCCATCCAGTCTTTCATAGCCTTCTGCTAAAAGCGGCTTAAATGTAAAATCGACTCAATTTATGCACTATCTGTACACGACATACCTCCTTGTAGCTTCAACCTGAAGGAGTTCCCGTACGTCATTGATCTTGTGATTTGATTGTAGGCCACACAGGCATACTCCGCGTCCCCCTTGATCTCGTCCTCGCGTACACTCACAAAGTATAGGTCACCTGCAAAAATAGGGTAAGTAATACTTATTGTAACAAGGGTTGGTCGAAAAGCTCTTCAACCAAAACTGCTGCTGCGACAGTTAGAGCAGTCAAAATATTGATTCAAAATGCTCTTAAACTTAAACAGCAGCAGGAAAGGTGAGATCAGTGATGATTCAATACGTTCTTCAACCTAAGCTGCAGGAGGAAAGGTGAGATCAGTGATGATTCAATACGTTCTTCAACCTAAGCTGCAGGAGGAAAGGTGAGATCAGTGATGATTCAATACGTTCTTCAACCTAAGCTGCAGGAGGAAAGGTGAGATCAGTGATGATTCAATACGTTCTTCAAACTAAGCTGCAGCAGGAAAGGTGAGATCAGTGATGATTCAATACGTTCTTCAACCTAAGCTGCAGGAGGAAAGGTGAGATCAGTGATGATTCAATACGTTCTTCAACCTAAGCTGCAGGAGGAAAGGTGAGATCAGTGATGATTCAATACGTTCTTCAAACTAAGCTGCAGGAGGAAAGGTGAGATCAGTGATGATTCAATACGTTCTTCAACCTAAGCTGAAGGAGGAAAGGTGAGATCAGTGATGATTCAATACGTTCTTCAACCTAAGCTGCAGGAGGAAAGGTGAGATCAGTGATGATTCAATACGTTCTTCAACCTAAGCTGCAGGAGGAAAGGTGAGATCAGTGATGATTCAATACGTTCTTCAACCTAAACTGCAGGAGGAAAGGTGAGATCAGTGATGATTCAAGACGTTCTTCAACCTAAGCTGCAGGAGGAAAGGTGAGCTCATTAACCTAGACGTTTAGCGGAGGTCGACAAAAGGAACCAACAAAACAGCTTAACGTGTGTGCATCTCGACCTCCTCTTCAGCGATTCCCCCGGTTTAAAATACTGTATCGCACGGTCGGACAAGAATTAGAACAAGTCATAATGACATAATAATGCTTAAAAACATGCATGGTTCGTTATAAAGTCATCAGGTGTGTTCATATAAATAAAAATCAGGCGTTAGAATTTCAATACTTGCATGTTTTGGGACACTAAATGCATAGGTTAGGCTAAAATGTTACAACAATGCTCATTTTAGCGGTTTCGGGAAGTTTTTTTCTAAAATTTGAACATAGGCAAGTCTTTGGCCAAAGCTGATGTTCGTAAGATTTGTTTGCTTGTTTGTTGCAGTCAGCAATATTGCACCTTTATGACTGCGGAAATCGAGTCTGTGGTTGGCATCATGAGCATCATGAGCATCCATCTATGCTATTGGGATACGATGACATGCATCAACCAAGTCAGCCACCCGTTAGTAGCATGGGTTGCTGAAGACCTATTCTAACCCGGATTTTCACATGTAGATGTTAACAGTACAGGTATATAAAAATCATTTTGGATCAAAAGAGAGTTGCTCATATGTAAATGATATTTTGAAGTTCGAAAAACCAGGCAATGTCACAAATATTAGCAACATTTGTGTTTTGGGTCCAACATAAAACGTTTGAAGCGGCTGACAAATATCCTACGAAAATGCCATTGATTTTCATAACTTTAATACTTGACGTTTCCAGCTGGCCAAGTAGTGCAGTTGTTGTACCTCTTCCTGCATCATATTAACACTGGCTACTGAAGACGTCATCATTTCAAAAGGACGTAATTTATAACTGTATTTTCTTCGTTAAACTTTCTGCCGTTCGCTGACCCCAGTATCACTTACCTTCATAATCTGTGACGACCGTCTCCGATAGCTCCACGAATTCCTGCTCATCTTCGTAGTCGTAGTCGTACTGGTAGGACCACACAATCCTGGCGTTTGGAACGCTCCTGGGGGGGTTACATCTGAGCTTCAAGGAGCGTCCAGGAACTAGACGTCGGGCTCTGACCTGGGAAGTCCTCCCACTTTCAGCCTTGGCCTCGATAAGTTCGTATTTGTTTGACAGGGATATACCGTGTATGTTCTCAGCTCTACATTGGTAGTAGCCAGCATCCGTCGCCTGGGCGTCGTGGATGACAAGAGTATTGCTTTTTGTTACAACCACACGGCCTTTGTTGATGTCGCTGTTGTAGTCAATGTTGACGCCGGATTTCAGCCAATACAGGCTGGAAAGCAATATCAGAAAATGAATTCCGTTTCTTTGTACAAAGTGTTTTACATGTTTGTCACCCACTAGGTCAATGAATATACCTCAATACTATGACAGCTTCCAACGAAAACACATCTACACTGAAACCCGTTAAACCGGACACCATTAATCAGGACATCCGGCTTTTCGGGCAATTACTGTCAGGAACGTCCACAGATATACAATACATTCTTCGGTGCCCATGATTCGTTTATCCGTAAGATTTAACGCAGAACGGTAACGTCCGCGGTGTTTCAGCGTAGGGGTGATGTACATCTATACTACGCTAGGTATTATACATGTATAGTAATTTCATATTTTGTTAAGATATTGACAAGCATTAGTCATTCGGATTGTAAGAATTTCGCAATAAATATGTTGAACTATGTGTCTTTTAACATACTGCATATTACAAGGTTTAAATGAGTCGGCGCGGTAGGTCGCAGTGACCTAGATACAGGTGATGTGTTTGGTCACCATCATCATCAGCAGCAGCAGCAGCAGCAGCAGCCGGCAAGGTGGTGTGTACTCACACGGGTATGGGTTGTCCCTGGGCTTCGCACGGTAGCTTGAGTCTCTCGCCCTCAACAAAGTGCCTCTTCTTTGGGGACATGTTGGCAACAACAGGGGGCACTGGAATGATGACATGAAGTATGACGCCGTCAACACCTTTACAGTAAAGATTGTCATGCTTCTCTCATCGACGGACGGACTTCTACTGTAGATCCGTTTTATCATTTTAAAAGTTTTCTCTAAATCGAACGCACACTTGAAAAATGACTTATTTAGTTTCCTGACATTATATGTTTGACATGGGTTAGTAATCACAATAAAGTTTGACCCATGTTATGTCGTTATGTCGTATATATATATAATCGTAATTGTTGTTTCTGTAAACCGACCGGTTCCGTCTTAACAACGACCTAATATTCAAGTTTGATGCCTTGAACACATTCCCCTTCCTTTGTTTTACAGACATCTACAAAACATCGACCTGTATTTAGTTCTCGACTAGTTGCTACTATTTAACATTTATTGGTCACTAATCTAATATTATCGACCAATAAATGTCAATATGTTTTCCTTGTTTGCTGTTTAACGCCGCACTCAGCAATACCCTGCTCTATAACGGTTGTTTGTAAATAAGGAGTCTGCGCCAGACAATCCAGTGATTGATGTTACGATCATCTATCTACGCAATTAGGAGACGATGACATGCATCAACCAAGTCAGACTGCCTGACCACCCGATCCCGTTAGTCGCATCTTTCGACAAGCATTGGTTGCTGAAGATCAAATCTAACCCGAAACTTCACGGGCCTGTCAATATGTAAGCGACCAAGAAATAAGAAATAGGCAGTACATATCTGCGATTTCCCCGCTTGTTCTGGATAAGGGATCGATAATGTTTGCAACATCAACGATGTACAACACGGCTGAGGAACAAAAGTGGAAATACGAAAGATCACACTTGTTTGTGTCGAAAGTAAATATTCAGAGTCACCTACTTCCGGATCATCAGTTCAAGAGAAGTTAAAACAGTGAAAGGTTAAAGGTGACGGTATAAAATAACGCTCTGCGCTAAAAAAGAAAGAAAACAAATCGATAGGTAACATAGTCAGTTTGGCGTCGGTGCTGAACATTCAAAACTGACCTCCGTGTAATCATACAAACTGAACGGTCAAGATGGACGACGTGTGTACATGTACCGGTCAAGATGGACGACGTGTGTACATGTACCGGTCAAGATGGACGACGTGTGTACATGTACCGGTCAAGATGGACGACGTGTGTACATGTACCGGTCAAGATGGACGACGTGTGTACATGTACCGGTCAAGATGGACGACGTGTGTACATGTACCGGTCAAGATGAACGACGTGTGTACATGTACCGGTCAAGATGGACGACGTGTGTACATGTACCGGTCAAGATGGACGACGTGTGTACATGTACCGGTCAAGATGGACGACGTGTGTACATGTACCGGTCAAGATGGACGACGTGTGTACATGTACCGGTCAAGATGGACGACGTGTGTACATGTACCGGTCAAGATGAACGACGTGTGTACATGTACCGGTCAAGATGGACGACGTGTGTACATGTACCGGTCAAGATGGACGACGTGTGTACATGTACCGGTCTGACAGCACAATACAAGCAACACACACGTAGCAGGTACAGCTGCTATATTGACATAGTACAATACTGGCGATGGTTGGAATTCAGTCTATATATGAAGGATAGCGTGTATCGCCATGCAGTGTCTTCCTAGAGCATTAACTTACATGTACTGATACCTCATGTCAACAATCACATTCACTACCACAACACTTACGGGGTAACTCGTCAGCTGCCGTATGCACGCCCCAATGCAACATCAGAAGCAGCATCGGCCACGCTCTCCCCGTCTCCATCGCCGCTCACTGCCGTGCCACCCACCTGCAACAGCACCAGTATGTTACATAATTATAATCATGTACAGCCAGACCATTTCTCCTGATGTACGTACATGTATTTCCGATCATGTAAAAAGCTGATTTGTAACACCCCCGGGACTGTGCAGACCAAGCTAGGGACTATAACTACACCGAGGGAAAGGAATGTTGTATTGTAATCAGATATACTAGGTTACCCTCTTGTAATATAAATAAACATTAGTGAGTGAGGAAATATTAACTAAAAATGATGAAACTTTATATAATATCATAATCGTGTTAGTACCATTTATCAAATCGTATCCACCTAACAACTACATGAAAAACATGTGTTATATGAACATTTATTTACAATAAAGGTATGTATTATAAAAAAAAAATTGCCAATTACATGTTGTCATATCATTGGTGGTGATGGCTTTAACCATCAGATGCTGCATGTTTTTTCACATGGTCGCTGCTTGTTTGAGTGCATCTATCAGCTGTATTGCGTGTGCGTCTATCAGTTGCATGTCTTCTGCTGCATTGCATGTGCGTCTATCAGTTGCATGTCTTCTGCTGAATGTTTTGTGTGCTGATTTGTTGAAATTTTGCGCGTATCCGCTGCATGTTTTGTATGTCTACATGCTTTATATACATCTACCTGCTGCATGTTTTATGCGTCTATCCGCTGCATGTTTTGTGTGTCTATTCGCTGCATGTTTTGAGTATTGGTTCGCTGTATGTTTTATGCGTCTATCCGCTGCATGTTTTGTGTGTCTATTCGCTGCATGTTTTGAGTATTGGTTCGCTGTATGTTTTATGCGTCTATCCGCTGCATGTTTTGTGTGTCTATTCGCTGCATGTTTTGAGTATTGTTTCGCTGCATGTTTTCTGCGTCTATCTGTTGCATGTTTTCTGCGTCTATCTGTTGCATGTTTTCTGCGTCTATCTGTTGCATATTTTCTGCGTCTATCTGTTGCATGTTTTCGGCGTCTATCCACTGTATGTTTTCTGCGTCTATCTGTTGCATGTTTTCGGCTTCTATCCGCTGCACGTTTTCTGCGTCTATCCGCTGTATGTTTTCTGCGTCTATCTGTTGCATGTTTTCGGCTTCTATCCGCTGCACGTTTTCTGCGTCTATCCGCTGTATGTTTTCTGCGTCTATCTGTTGCATGTTTTCTGCGTCTATCTGTTGCATGTTTTCTGCGTCTATCTGTTGCATGTTTTCTGCGCTTTGGGTCTTACGCAATATAAGCACACACATTATTTTAATGTAACTCCATGTCATTTGCTGAAACCACGATAGTTTCACATTTCAGTCATATAGGTTATGAACCATCTCTTGTAAAACCATGGCATCTACTTGTTAATGAATATTTCCATCTTGTTCATGGGATGAAACAATGTCATGTAGTTCCTACCTCCGTCCCCGAATCACCACACGGTCTGTCCATACAGCACGTTTACGGGTGGGTGGGGACGAGGGGCTGGGGCGGCTGTTCAAAGGGTGTCTGTTTTAAGATGTTATCAGGCCATGTATCAACATATCAACCCATTAAGTGCCTATATTTTTTTTAAAAGGCAGAATGGGTCGTGGTAGGCACGGTTACTACATATATGTATCCAGGTACGTTTCTACATACAGAAATGTACCCCAGCCACAATCAGAATATAGAAAGGTATCCGGTACCCTAAACCACAGACGAGTCCATATTCTTCAATCCAGTAGTGGTACTGGTGCCCCGGAGCACCTAGTCCAACCCTAGCTAGGCTAAGCTAAGACCTCTCATGATTTCTGTAAACAGAAACTTACCTGGGGTGCCTTATCTGTAGTACCCGTGCCGACAACGACCCCTTCAGGTTTAAGAAGGAGAAAAATATTAAGTAAGAAACTCCCCGTTTGAATCAGGAAACAAACGTGCCTATACCATGGATACAGACCCCTCGAGTACCACCGGGCAACAGCTCATGTGAGCTGCGCTCATCCAAGCTTAAACCGTTAGAACCTCGTCTCAGTAAACAGCAACATTGCAGGAATGTGATGGACGTAATGGATGGAGAGGAGCTAGGCATTATCAAAGGATGGCCAGCAGCCGCACGAAATTCTAGGCGAATGTTCGAGTAAACTGAGCGGCCCTTTTAACCGAACAAAGTTTGTGCAGCTCGCTGAAAGGTTTGTTTATAAGAACAACAACTCTGATAAAAGGCTTCTTCTGAACTCTATGAAGGAGAAAGCACGTGGCTAGGTAATGAGGGTGTCTACTTTATCTCCTGCTACAGCGACGATGAAGTTATGTGCGGTTCACCACGGAGAAAACCGCTCAATGCATTGCCTTATTACAATAGATAGATAGATATATAAACGGACGAATAGTGGTAAACAGATGGCTAATCTGAAGGAAACAGGGCGGATACAAATAGGGATAACGGTAGATGCATAGGTAGACAAATAACAAATACACAGGTATATATTAATTCTCATTGGAGATTCAAAGCTGAGGCATACAAGTATACATAAAGGCAATAAAAAAGGCAGGTTACCGTAGATACAAAGACAGGCAGAAAGCGACTGGATGGGTACAAAGACAGAGCTCTCGATCCTAGGTTCTCCACAGTGATCTGTGGCTCTGTCGCGCTACTATACTCAACGAACTACAAAACTATAGGAGATGGCAAATGGACCGTAATTTATTGCATTTGAAACGTCATTGTATGAAATATACAACACATATACAATGGAATGTGTTCAGTTCATCTGTGCCACTGACGGCGCAAACGACGCGACATCAAACACATGCATCCTCAGAAGATGCTGTAACATGGGGCAGATGGAGTCATTCTGAGGTGAGGTGAAATGGTATTTAACGTCTTGTTTAAGATTATTGAACTTATACAGCGACGTGGATACACTTGTGTGTTTGCGTGTTTGTCTGTTTGTACTAGTCAGGACTAATGCCGATTTTATAGAGCTAGCCCACTGAGGTACCGTGTCGCAGTTTATCATGGATATCCCACTCAGACACAGTATACTGACTCCGAGCTGACCAGTCCTTGTTTTAGCCGCTGAATGTCAAGCACCAGGCAGGGTAACAACAAGTATTAACGTCTTTTGGTATGAGGCGGCTGGGGATCGAACCGGGGACCTTCCGCACTCAGGGCGGACTTTCTACCACTAAACCACGGAGGTGGTTGGAATCACCAATGAACCCCAATGAAACCGGTCAATATGAGTCCTCCTCTGGCGTCTATGAAAGCTTCATAACGAAGGTGATTTCTTATGGTCTAGGCAGATACATTCATCTAGCCAATACTGTGGTATCCTGGAACCGGTTACGTAGAGTGCTTGTTCGAATATACCGATCCTGCACAGCGGTTGTAACCCTTTGTGTACATGTCCGAGGAGGGCATTGGTTGTTCTAGTGTTGTTAAGGTGGTTAAGAAGGCGGTGAATGGTTGCCCTGGTAACATTGAAAGGGTCTGCTACTGCACTAATAGTCTGTCAACCAGACCCCAGAGAGAAAAAAAATAAAAAAGGAGTCCAGTTCAAGTCTAGAATGATTTGGCAAGCCCATGTTGCCTCAGCTCTGAAATTGAGGATTGAAGGATCACAACATACACATACACGATGACTATGACGTCAGTAAAGGACATTCCTCACAGAAACGCCCACATCGCTTGAAGCAACAACTCGTGTCACCACCACGACTGCCAAGCCAAGAAAAGTTCATTACATATCCCACTATCAATAGCGAGGTGTGGTGGCATATTGGGCGATTGGGGGTTCAAAGTAAGTTTTCTCGCGCTGCAGGAACACAGTGACACAACGGCTGTACTGTTCCTTATGTAAAGGGCACTGCGTGGTTGTGAGGGTGTGGTTTGAACTAACGACAATGAGGACACGATAACCAAACAAACAGAGACAAACTAGCTAATAGGTAGCTTTATTGAGGGGTGCTTCCACCATGTCAGGGAAGCGGGTGATAAGACGGACCCACTGAATGGAGGAGTACTTCCACCATGTCAGGGTAGCGGGGTGATAAGACGGACCCACTGAATGGAGGAGTACTTCCACCATGTCAGGGTAGCGGGTGATAAGACGGACCCACTGAATGGAGGAGTACTTCCACCATGTCAGGGTAGCGGGTGATAAGACGGACCCACTGAATGGAGGAGTGCTTCCACCATGTCAGGGTAGCGGGTGATAAGACGGACCCACTGAATGGAGGAGTGCTTCCACCATGTCAGGGTAGCGGGTGATAAGACGGACCCACTGAATGGAGGAGTGCTTCCACCATGTCAGGGTAGCGGGTGATAAGACGGACCCACTGAATGGAGGAGTGCTTCCACCATGTCAGGGTAGCGGGTGATAAGACGGACCCACTGAATGGAGGAGTGCTTCCACCATGTCAGGGTAGCGGGTGATAAGACGGACCCACTGAATGGAGGAGTGCTTCCACCATGTCAGGGTAGCGGGTGATAAGACGGACCCACTGAATGGAGGGGTGATTCCACCATGTCAGGGTAGCGGGTGATAAGATGGACCCACTGAATGGAGGAGTGCTTCCACCATGTCAGGGTAGCGGGAGATAAGACGGACCCACTGAATGGAGGGGTGCTTCCACCATGTCAGGGTAGCGGGTGATAAGACGGACCCACTGAATGGAGGAGTGCTTCCACCATGTCAGGGTAGCGGGTGATAAGACGGACCCACTGAATGGAGGAGTGCTTCCACCATGTCAGGGTAGCGGGTGATAAGACGGACCCACTGAATGGAGGAGTGCTTCCACCATGTCAGGGTAGCGGGTGATAAGACGGACCCACTGAATGGAGGAGTGCTTCCACCATGTCAGGGTAGCGGGTGATAAGACGGACCCACTGAATGGAGGAGTGCTTCCACCATGTCAGGGTAGCGGGTGATAAGACGGACCCACTGAATGGAGGAGTACTTCCACCATGTCAGGGTAGCGGGTGATAAGACGGACCCACTGAATGGAGGAGTACTTCCACCATGTCAGGGTAGCG